TTTTTTGAGACGATTAACGAGCCACCAAGAGACCATTACAACCTTTTGGTACTCTACGACCCAACGACCTGATGATGGATGGATTGGTCAGTGTCAGCTGTTTGCGCATTGTTCACTTTGAAGAACGGGGAGACCTGAGTGACCTGAACCACTCTGCTTTTGCCGCGGAAGGTTTCGAGTTAGTGACTTTATCTTTTGTGAATGCAGAATCGAATTGCTCGTAGCTAAAACATTTCCTCGTTGCGGTGAACGTTCACTTCGTGGATGGCTAAGTAACAAATTCACTATGCATGGGAAAGTTGAACGACGTCCAGAGACAATCGCTGATGAACATTTGTGACACCTTACCCTTGAGAATCTGGTGAGCTTTTAGCACAAATATTCGGTTTCGGAATGTCACAATCGTTTAACCGGCATGTTCCGATGTGCAGACAAGGACACCAAGAACGGGGGACACCATAAGCTCTGGTCTACATGTCGTTCACCGCTTTTTCAAGCTGGCCAGCAACTGGTCTGCGGTAACCAGCCTCAAACGCACGGACTCCCTCGAATGGGCCTGCAAAAACTAACATCTCACCGAACCAAGGATGGTGCGGCGAGCCCTCTTGGAAGTCTTGACTAGAGCATTTACAGGGTTGGCTGAGGGAGATACTGCAGCAACTACCACGCTATATGGAGAGGGCGGCCCATTGGTGCCACGATTCCTGGAAACGAGATCATGGAGGGGGGAGGAGAGGGGCAGCCAACTACCAAAGAGGTCCACGGACAGCCCCGACTCGTACGTGATGAATCGCAAGGTGTGGTATTGACACCTCAGTTGCCGAGCACTAGCATGGTTGCAGCAGTGTACGAGAGGCGCAGGTTGAGGTGGGTGGAGAGCTTGGAGAACGCATGCCTATGAACGCAAGCATTGGGATGGAGCGCGAGGTACGAGTAGGTGTGTCGGAGCCTCTCGTCAAGCAACAGCAATTGCCTGCTGACCAAACCAGTCCTGTAGATGATCCATTGGTGGAGGGGAGCTTCAACGTGACTCCGTCTGCGGGCGTAGGGAGGCGGCGGCCGCACGTGGCCGTGAGGAATTTGCGAAAGAGGACAAAAGCGGGCCACATTCGGATCGTCGTCGATGGCGTCGATCGAAGCACAAAAAGTTGGATGAAATCAGGGATGAGGTTTGGGATTTGCGTGGCGATATTCGTGACGGGAAGACCGAAATTGAGGAAAAGATCCTCCAGTTTGGGCCGATATGCAGCATTCCTTTAAGGAGTTTCGGTCTTCCACATATAATTCACTGCAGCAACTCTCAAAGTCTGTTGCAGATGTGGCAACCTTAGACGGAACGGTGTTTACCAAATCCTAGCTTCAAGAGGTGGCTACGGTGGTAACGAAGTTGGCTCCATAGGCTCTCGCTGAGGCTGCAGCGAAAGGCATGTGGACCGTGGCTGTCTAGGATGCTTCTCTAAGACGGATCAACGAATCCGTGCTCCGAGCTTTTCCAAAGGGTACCAACTCTATTGAAGACATCCGTGCAACCCCACCTGCAAGGCATGCCTCTGCTGCGACCCCGACGAAATCAACACCCTCTCCGGTGGATCGGCTTTGGCGGATGATTTTTGTTGGGGACGGAGACGAAAGTGCTAACCCTGGGAGGCTTAAAGATGACAGAAGGATGGCTTGAGGATGACAGGAGACAGCACCAATGTCTCGGGGGGAGAAAGGGCCCATCGACAAAGGGTGTCTAATTGCTGGTCGACGTTCCCGTCGTCTCCGGATATATCGGCGTGGGCCAAACCTTAGGAGGTGCCGCTACGGTGGTCGCAGTGCCAGTGGACACCTGTTATACTAGAAACGATGCTGCTCAGACGTCGTCTGGCTCTGAGAGGCCAGAGGACCACAGAAGTTGGTGAGGAAAGCAAGACAATGGGTGTGGAGGAGCCCTTCAAGGGGGCTGGCCTTTCGGACTGGGCTGTTAAGAAAGATGACGGCCGAACGTGGACCTCTGAGCAGATTCTGGGCGATCACAAGTGGTTTTTGGGTACGTTCAACGACATCCCAAAATTGATATCGAGGGGGTTGGGGAACCGAGGTGGGGGGTGGGTACTTGCAACCCAGGGACAGAGTGGGTGCACTGTACGCGCGGAGTAGCTACACTGTAGTCCCCCCACCTCGCGCCCACCATGCTTGGCTTTCGTGGCAGGATATAGGCTCGGGACAAAGCACAACTAGGGAAGTGGTTCCTTTGTGGTTCCTCTGCATTCGGAGCGAATCTGGAATGTTCTAACCAACACTGTAGGCTGGGTTCCAAACCTACAATATGCCCACCAGGCCTGTACTTCGTTGGGTCTGGTGTCGAAATATTCAGTACAAAGACCACACAATACAAATCGTTTTGTGTTAGAAGCCCATTTATTAAGCTCCCAGTATAACACAAAGCGTAACAAATAGATGCGAAAACGTACCACTCGCACCAAGACAGCAGCAAAATCGGATTTCGGCGCATCTTAAGCCACGAAAAAACACGAACCGTCCATTTCAAGAATTAACGGTACCGATCGAATCTGAGCGCACTGTTGAAAACTGTGAAGTTTTTGTGCACGTTGGAATTTTATCCGTCGATCAAAAACGCCTTGAACGGTTAGGATCAGTTATGTTTCTGGTAGGAAAAAGAATCGAAACCGTTTATCTGTGTTTCACTGGACGGTCAAGATCTCAACTAACAAAACTCAAACCAAATCACTGAGGTTGGAATTACAACCGTTGATCCGAAGTTGGTTGGATCGTCAACCGTCAATTTTTTCCCAAGCTGTGCTGCAGATTTCTGGTGGCTAAGTAAAGCATTTTAGCCGTCGATCCGACTTTCCTTTAAAGGTCACGATTGAGAGATGAAAGTAGTTGGTTGAAAATAATGCTAGCTGGTCTCTGATTGGTTCAAAGTTCCATCCACCCCAGATTTCGGCCGAGGCACACACACATAACTGAGTATATCCAACACCCAACTCACTTCCCCTGCATTCATTTCTTAGCTTCCAGACAGCTCTTGTGTAGTTTCTCGCTATTCAGTTTCACCTGCCAGACCACGCTCTGGTTTTCTACCTTGAGCGCTGCTGCTAATGTTATTTTTTGTGTGCCGATGTCGTCACCCCGTAGACCCCTGCCTTCGACGTGTTGCCGCCAGCTTTCCGCAGATTGGATTATGGGCTGTGTTTTTAGTGGGATTGGATTTAGGCTGTCGCTGATACTAACACTAGGATGACGCCTCGCTTGTATATTATTTTGCAGGCGACTGGTTAATAAAGGGCAGCGCTTCTCGCGTGAATTTTTATGAAAGGTGAGATTTGTAAACGCAAAATGCTATCACTTGCAGATTAACGATGCGACTCTTTTGTTTCGGTCTTTGCAGGCTACAATGGCTTCAAAGCATAGCGTACGAAATGTCATCGCATGTTTCCTAATGGCGTGCTACTTTAGTTGGGTGTCTGCCCTGCGAACGTTGCAATTTAGAAGCCCGTCCCAGGATGGATTCTCGGTTGGTACCGGGAACGTTAATGAGACTGCATGCGTTTTTGTATTGTTTCTTATAATATAGTGGACATTTGAACACCATCACAACAATTATGCGCTGTCGACCGTCAGCTTGGGTAGGGACTGCAGCTGTCATTGTGCGTCGGTTGCTAGTGTACGTAGAGTACAGACATTGTGCGTACATACCATGGTTAATGTATTGCTAGAGTAAACATAATGTTTGTTCTTATATCAAATAGTATATGCTGACTTCGTGCATGGGTTGCTAGTGTACGTATAATATGGACATAGTGCGTACATACCATGGTGGATGTCTGGATAGAGTAAACACAATGTTTGTACTGTATTGCCGGAACACTAGTAAGTGGTATGTAGGAGAACATGTACACACATTGTGTCGGGGAACTTTGTATGCACATTGAATGTTGGATGTGAAACCATCGTAGGTACATTGTCCATTCAAAGGTAACATTTGGGATGGACAGAACGAGCAGCATTTTTCGGCGGCAGTCTGCTGGTGTATGTATTTCCCAAACATCAAACTGCAGAACTACAAGATACTTGCAGACCCCGCGGAAGGCAGATTTGAGCGGATGAAGTGGCCGCAAAGTTGTTCCCGCTCACCTGATTCTTCGCCGCCTGATTCCGCTTTCGCCCCGCCCTGATTCTCGAAATTCTTGTTTTCAAGGTTTCGCCAACACTATTTCAACCTCACATAACTTCAAAATTTACCATGCTGACCTCGGGCTTTAAAGTGGTTAGTCGCTGGAATTATGAGAGTTAACCTTACCAGCGTCGTTAACCCTGCACGGCTACTGTAACTCCGCTTGCGCTATTTCTTTGTTCTTCAGCCTCTTCTCGAGAAATATTTTTTAATACGTATTCACCAATCTTCGAATCTGCGGTACACCCAATCTACCTACGTAAGTCGCACGGGTAAACCTAGAAATTTCCACCAAAAATTGCCTGGACGCATCTAGCTCGATGGGCGCAGTAGATCGTTCTTGCGCCCGCTCCAAGGCAAGAATGAGATACTGGTACTGTTAGAGAAATGTCGAAGGGGACAGGTGGACAATCAATGATATCAACGTGCTCTGCCGACTCCCTCTTACAAGTTGTATGTTCATTCTAAACAAGACACGCCTTCCAACGGTTAAAAGGCCTAGTAACAATTACATTTTAGTACAATACAAGAAACAACTTCAATGTGTATGAAGATTACGTGTGTCACATCGGCATTCCTCTATGAAAGTCAGATTTCGGAATTGGTGAGGTGACGCATGAAGCCGTCCAGTCACAGCCCAACTTCCTAAGCCTCTCACCAACCCACCCACCCAATACTCTGTGCCAATACTTCGGCACATTACTCCCCTCACCCCCACCTCCTTACCTCGCTAACCCTCCTCCTCCCCCCCCCCTCACCCCTCCCCCCCCCCCCCCCCCCTTCTCCCCCCTTTTCTCTCCTCTCCACCCGTCCCCTATCACATCTGCCCTCTCTTCCACGAATACTTCTCATCACGCAGCAACCGCACCAGATCCGCATTAAAAGGCGCAAAGAACGCCTCCAGGTGCTCCCGTGTGACCCCATCCAGCTCCTCCCTCGCCATGCCCTCCGGCCGCTGCTCCACGCGCTCCAGGTCGATGATCCCCGCCCACTGCTCCTCCGCCACGTCAGCAGCGGGGAAGCCGAGGAAGTCGAGGGTTTGGGCGATGTGCGGGCGGGGGTTGGCCATGTAGTCCTCGAAGCGCAGGAAGAGGAAGGCCTGGGGGTGGAAGGAGCGGAACCAGTCCTGAAAAGGGGAGGGGACGGGGGGGTGGGAGTGGATGAAGGGGACTGGGGTGTGTTGAGAGGGGCTGGTGGTGTGGCTCGGTGTGGGTTGGCCATGTAGTCCTCAACTGGAGAAAGAGAAGGCCTGTGGGTGGAAGGAGTGGAATCAGACCTGACAGTGGGGGGGACGGGGGAGAGAGGGAGGAAAGGGGAAGGGGGAAGTGAGGGGAGGTGGGGGAGGAGGGGGTGAAGAGGGATAGCAGGGAGTGGAATGGCTTGGTGTGTGGTTCGGCCATGCAGTGTCTGAAGTGGAGGGAGACGAAGGCCTGTGGGTGGAATCAGAGGAACCAGTCACGAAGAGGGGAGGGGGGGAGAGAGAGAAGGGGGGGATGATAGGTGTGGGGTGGGGGAGAGGGAAGTCGGAGAAGGGTGGAAGGGGAGGGAGGATGGGGAAGGAGAAGGGGAGAGGGGGAGAGGAGAAAGGAGGAGGAGGGGGAAGGTTGGAAAGTGGCTGTATCAACGAGGGTGGAATGGGAGCAATGAAAAGGGAGGAATCGAAAAGAATCTCCAGGTCGATCAATCAAACCTGCTTCCCCACTGCTAAGAGGGAGTGGGGGGAGCGGAGGTGGAGGGTATGGAAAGTGGCTTGCTCGAGGATGGTGGGGTGGGTGAGAGGGACGAAGTGCAGAGAAAATTCCCACCTGGTCCCCCTCCACTAGCACTGTGGGTGGGTGGAGGAGGAGGAGGAGGAGGAGGAGGAGGAGGAGGAGGAGGAGGAGGAGGAGGAGGAGGAGGAGGAGGAGGAGGAGGAGGAGGAGGAGGAGGAGGAGGAGGAAGAGGAGGAAGTAGAGGAGGAGGAGGAGGAGGAGGAAGTGGAGGAGGAGGAGGAGGAGGAAGTGGAGGAGGAGGAGGAGGAGGAAGTGGAGGAGGAGGAGGAGGAGGAAGTGGAGGAGGAGGAGGAGGAGGAGGAGGAAGTGGAGGAGGAGGAGGAGGAGGAAGTGGAGGAGGAGGAGGAGGAAGTGGAGGAGGAGGAGGAGGAGGAAGTGGAGGAGGAGGAGGAGGAGGAAGTGGAGGAGGAGGAGGAGGAGGAGGAGGAAGTGGAGGAGGAGGAGGAGGAGGAAGTGGAGGAGGAGGAGGAGGAGGAGGAAGTGGAGGAGGAGGAGGAGGAGGAAGTGGAGGAGGAGGAGGAGGAGGAAGTGGAGGAGAGGAGGAGGAGGAAGTGAGGAGGAGGAGGAGGAAGTGGAGGAGGAGGAGGAGGAGGAAGTGGAGGAGGAGGAGGAGGAGGAAGTGGAGGAGGAGGAGGAGGAGGAAGTGGAGGAGGAGGAGGAGGAGGAAGTGGAGGAGGAGGAGGAGGAGGAAGTGGAGGAGGAGGAGGAGGAGGAAGTGGAGGAGGAGGAGGAGGAGGAAGTGGAGGAGGAGGAGGAGGAGGAAGTGGAGGAGGAGGAGGAGGAGGAAGTGGAGGAGGAGGAGGAGGAGGAAGTGGAGGAGGAGGAGGAGGAGGAAGTGGAGGAGGAGGAGGAGGAGGAAGTGGAGGAGGAGGAGGAGGAGGAAGTGGAGGAGGAGGAGGAGGAGGAAGTGGAGGAGGAGGAGGAGGAGGAAGTGGAGGAGGAGGAGGAGGAGGAAGTGGAGGAGGAGGAGGAGGAGGAAGTGGAGGAGGAGGAGGAGGAGGAAGTGGAGGAGGAGGAAGTGGAGGAGGAGGAGGAGGAGGAAGTGGAGGAGGAGGAGGAGGAAGTGGAGGAGGAGGAGGAGGAGGAAGTGGAGGAGGAGGAGGAGGAAGTGGAGGAGGAGGAGGAGGAGGAAGTGGAGGAGGAGGAGGAGGAGGAGGAGGAGGTAGGCAAAAGGAAGGGGGCAGGGAGTGCCGCTAGGAATGGGGGCCTCAGTGCATATCTGTCGCCTCACAACACACCTGCCGACTCACAACACACCTGAATAAAGTAGGCATAGAATGATCCGCACAGGTCCGGCATGTCTCGAAACAGCTTCCGCACACACGCATGCGCGCCCTCCTTCTCCACACACGCACTCATGCGCGCCGTCGCATCTCGAGCCTGGGGTGGTGGAGGAAGGTGTATGGAAGGGGAAACGTGGGGGGTGGTGTGGAGAAGGGGGGAGGGGAAGGGGAAGGGAAGGGGACGTGCAGGGAAGGGGCTTGCAAGTGCCTTGCGGAGATTTGGAACTCCACACGGATGTATGGGGTCAGAACTGCATGTTAGCACACATTGTCTTCTCTTGCGCACTCAGCCTGTACCAATCTCCTCATTGATACAAAGGACCGTTTGAGAAGCAATTGGTGGAGGGGGAATATGGAACGAAGAAAGGCAGGTGGGATAGAGGAGGAGAGTAAACAGTGAGGGTGAGACATTCTTTCGTTTTATCTTCTACGGTTTTTCCACGGGCTTCGGCCGCGCTGTACAGGACGACAGCACACTATGTACAGACTGCAATCATGTTTAACATGCACATAAAACACACACACGCATTTCCTAGGGAGCTCCCAAGTCGGGAGTGACTATGGACGGACGGCCTGCAGCAGGCGCCTCCGCTCCGCCCTACAACTGCCCTGCTACGCCCGCACTCTCCAACAACCACACCACGGTTTTATCAACAAGACGAAGTACTGGCACGCAGCCATCAACAGCATTTACAGCATTTATATGGTGGCACAACATGCAAATAGCAGCAGGATTATTTGCGAGTGCCCAGGCGCCACCGCCGCCACCAAGGCGGCTGCCAGAGCAGGTCCGAATATGGCCGCCTACGGCCCTGCGCGCGCCGACGCTGTTCCCCCCCGCCTGTTCTGGCTCCCAGAGCTGCCCCCCCCCCCCCCCTTCCGACTCTGGCTCTCAAAGATGCCCCCTTCTGTGGCGGAGACGAGCGCCGGAGAGAATCCCACTGTGTGGACTGCGCCTGGCTGCGACCCACCCCCGAGATGGGCCACAGCGAGGGAGATGTTGAGGGCCGCCGAGGCGACGGGCTACAGCACTCGCCGGGCAGCCGTGGGGGCTACCCGGTGAGGGGGACAGCGTTGGCGTGCGCAAGGCTACCTCACTCGTCCTCGCGTCCACGAGCCTGCCATCGCACACGGAGGCTCGACGCACGAAAATACCAGCAGCAACACCAGTGGTGGTCACCCCTCACACTCAGAGTCACTTCCTCCTGCTCACCGGACCGGGCTGCCATCTCCAATCGGTTACCCCAATTCAGGCAAGCTCTACACTGATGCCTGTGCAGAAATTAACCTCCCCCTTCTGCCATGGACCGCCACAGACATCCCTTGCCACGCGCGGCAGCCTGGCGAAGGCCTTGCAAGCCCTTGAGAGCACCCCAGTCAGCCCGTCCAACTGTGAGACTCTGGAGGCCCTCCAATCTCGTCTCCCCAACGCCATCCCCTTCCTTCCAGAATGACAGGTAACTTACCAGCCCCCAAGCTCACCTGTCATCTCCTTTTAAGACATACGGTTGCTCCTCTCCGGATGCAAGAACAGCATCGGCGCCATGGCAACTGCCATGTGCTTCAAACTCCTATATGACGCCCCCTTAACACCTTCTGGCCCTCGCGAACATGGCACTCGCAGGGAGGCTCACCACACGGAGGCAACCCTTGCCTTCACCAAGCCTAAGCGCTTTTGAGGCACCTCAAAAGCCTTCACCAGGCCAATGGCCCTCCGCCTATGGCCAAGCCTAAGCGCTTTTGAGGCACCACAAAAGCCTTCACCAGACCAATGGCCCTCCGCCTATGGCCAAGCCTAAGCGCTTTTGAGAAAGGTCGTCCATCACCTCATTGCAAAAGAGGCCCTCTTGATCGCTGCTTCCCAGTGTTCCCTTTGTGTGCCGACCGACACTTCCTCCCAATCCAGTACGAAGGGGGTATTGTAGGGGCGGGGGTCGAAGCAATCATCCACTCCTCCAGAACCTACCTTGAGGAGTTCTCCACACTACGCTAGTTTTTGATAGACTTTTAAAAAGCGTAATTTTTCTCCGCTAGTTTTTCTCCAGTACGACCAAGGGTCAAAATAACGGTTATAAAAAACTACGTTTTTTAAAGGTCTATCAAAAATACGGCGTATTTTTTTTAATTTGGCCGTAAAAAAGGACCGTATTATACGGACCGTATAATACGATAACCGTTATTTTGACCCTTGGTCGTACTGGATTGGACGACACTTCCTCGACACCACCTTCAACTCAACGTCGCCCACCTCATCAGCCTCCCTTGGCCTTAGACCTCCCTTGGCGCCAGACCTCCCTTGGCGCCAGACCTCCCTTGGCGCCAGACCTCCCTCCCAACATCCCTGGGCGGTCTCGGCCTCTCAGACCCAGCCGCCGAGCAGTTTCCCAGCCACCTGGCGTTAACGGCCGCAACAGCGCATTTACTCAGCGCCACCAGCAGCTCACTGCACCCTAGCATCGCGGCTCTTTTCCCGCTCTTCAGCCCAAACCCTAACAGCCGAGCAGCTCTCCCAAGACGCCTGGCTGTAGAGGAAACCACCGCCACAGCCTGCCTCCTCGCTTCACCTACTCTGAGACGGCTTAGAATCGCTCAACGCGCAGTGGGGTGTGAGCCTACCTGTGCGGGCCGCAAGATTCTATGCTCCTGGAGGAGAGCAACCCCCCGCTCAGGAATATGGAGCTGAACGCCCTGCTCGAACACAGCCAGCGCCCGCACTCCCTCCTTCGTTGGTGTTGGTGCGCCTGGGCCGTGGTGTTTCGTTTGAGCCTGCCACACCTTGTGCCCACCGCATGTGACTGGAACGACGCGACAGAGATACTCGGCCCACGTCTCCCAAACCATCTGCTCCGCTGCGGGACCGGCAAAGGGAGGACTGGCACTCACAATGCTGCTGTGCGCGATGCAATGCGCATTTGCATTGACCAGAATCGCATCCGACTGCGGTCTCACGGTCCACAAAGAGCTGAAGGGCTCAGGGTGGATCTCGCCATGCGTCAACCCAACTCGGGGGGGCGTGTGCCTGTATGATGTGACGGTGACAGACCCAATCTCTCTGCAACACCCCACGGCCTTCCACAGCACTGGTTGGGTGGCCAAGAAGCTACCCGTCCCAAAGAACAGAAATCCCACTGCAACCGGACGGCCTGGGTCGGGTTCTAGGCATTGGCTGTGGAGACGTACGGGTACGTTTCATCGGGTAAGCTCAAGTTCTTTTACAGGTGCGCCACCCTCGTGGCTAAACAACTCCAAGCCGAGCCGGGCAGAGCCGGCCGGTTCTTGAGAGCCGGATTCCTGCAAAAACGGCCAGCTCTTCCAGCACTACCGCCAGCGGTGGTCCATCCATCGATCATCCTCCAACACGCTAAGGAGTCAGGCCAACAATGCCCTAACCGCCAAGTCCCACACCGCCTTGGTGGCCGGCACGGGTGGAGCCCATCGACGTGCTTCATGAGCCCATTGACTTGGGGGGGGGGGCTTGATGCAGGCCCTGGGGCCGGCTTGCAAGCTCGTGTAAGGCGGTTCTGGGCGTAGCTTTGCTTGTCATGTACTCACCTTCCATTGCACTGTAGCCCCATGTATATACAAGGACCATTCGAGGGTGAGAAAGCACTGTGGGAGAGATTCGAATAGAGAAAGCGAGATCGAATTGCATAGCGGGTGTGTGGAGGGATGGGAAGGGGACGGGGAGGGATTGAGATACGGGAGAGCGGGGGCAAACAGTGCAACATGATGTAGTGTGATGCGGTGTCATTCAGTGCAGTGCGGGCACTCACGTATTTATGAAAGTCCCTGGGAACGGAGGGGTTGACGGCAGCAGCAAGATTAAACTCGGAGAAGAAGCGGTCGACAGGGTTGCGGAGGATGACAATGAACTTGCTCCTGGGCAGCACGAGGTGCAGCAGCTGCGGCACCGTGTGCCTGTCGTCCACGTGGCCTCGCAGCACCACGCCTGAGCTGGTGAGCAGCGTGCTGGACGCCTCGCCTGTCACCGCGCTGCCCCCCGTGTTCACCATGTGCTGCGCTGCCTCGTCAAACAGCGCCACGTACCACGCAAAGTCCCGTGCCCCGTTGCGGTCCCGCCTGGACAGGGGAGGGTGGGAATAGAGCCAGGAGAAGGCAGGGGAGGGGAAAGCGGGGTATATGGATAGGGAAGGGATGGGTGGAGGGGAGCGGGGTTATGTGGTCGCAGGGAGTGCGTGTAGCGATTGGGATGTGTTGCGCTGCCTCGTCAAAGAGCGACACGTACCACACAAAGTTCCTCGGGGTGGGGAGGGATGGGGAAGGGGAGGGTAAGGCGTGTCACACCCTATCAACCGTGTGCTACACAACTTGGTGAAAGAGATGTGCCTTGAGAGGGACATAAGTTGAGCAGGGGTTGGAGTTGGAAAGGAGTAGAGGATGGGAGGGAGGGGACTGTGGGGAGTTAGGGATGGTGGTTGGTGTGCGGCAGGAGGGGAGAGGACAAGAGGCAAAGATGCAGGGAAAGGAGGACGAGAAAGAGGCATGGAATTTGAGTTACAATTACACGGCAAAGTCGAGTATGAGGCGTATAAGGGAGAGACTGCAAGACAGAAACGAGATACATTCACACGGCATAAAGGATGGTTCAAGGAATTGAGTGAAGTACGTTTTGCTTCTTACTCTGTTAACTTAACATATACCTGGGATGGGGTGCCAGCACAGGGGCTGACTGAGGCGAGGATAGAGACGTGACAGGAAACTGCTGCGTTGCAATCACTCACCATGACGTGAGTTGGGGAGAAGGCGGGTCGTACCATTGGGGGTTGGGGATGGCGGCTGGGAATATGCCCGGGATGATGGAGGAGGTGAGCTTGCGGTACAGGTCCTGCGTGCCCGCCCTGGGAGGGAGCGAAAGGGATAGGCATGCAGGCAATGTGGGCAAGAGAGGGAGATTGGAAAAGAATGGGGAACGGCAGAGCGGGCCAGATGGATGAGGGTTAAGTTCCTGGCGCAGGTACTTCCTGGTGGCACTCAAAGTGTGTGAGTACACGCACGGTGCACAGGGAAGAGAGGGGGGAGGACGGGGGGGGTTGACCTCCACTCCCCGCACTCCCCGCACTCCCCGCCTGCACGCGCCAGCACGGGTTGCGCATGCTGCTGTCCATGCCCTGCCGGGGCAGCATCTTGAACTCCTCCCCAAACTTCATCCACATGTCCCGCGCCACCGCCCCCTCCCCTCCCGTGCCCCCCTGCTCCGCCGCTGACGCCCCTCCCCCAACTCTCTCCGGCCACTTGTCCGGGGATCAGGCAGGATGCAGGCGACACATGCTCCTCAGTGAGCACGCGTGTGTCGTCAAACTCCTGGGGCTCCAGGGCGGCTTCAGAGCCCTGCAGTGCGCGGCACAGCACCAGGCCCTGCTGCGACCCCGCCACCACCAGCAGCACCTCCAGCTGCTCCAGCCCCTGCACTGGCGCCGGAGTGCCGTCCTGGGAGGGCGCTGGGCGGCCTAGTTGCCCGTGCTGGTTGTCGCACACGAGCACGATGCCTGACCTTGTGATCTGCAGTCACTGCAATGCAAACGTCGTGTGGTCTGCTGCCACCGACTGCACTGCCGACCCCACCGCCCTCCCCTCCTCCCCTCAAGAACCACCAGCAGCAGCAGCAGGACTCTGGGGGCTGAACCCAGTGTAGCACACGAGCACCATGCCCGACCCTGTGAGCGCCACCCAGTGGTCCGTGCCCACATCCACCTCCACTACCTGCTCCCCCTCCACCCCCGCCTCCACCTGTGCCGCTACCAGCGCTACGTTTCTCAGCCGCTCTACATTCCGTCGCCCTCCAGATTTTCGATGTGCCCTCTGCTGCTGCTGGTGAGCTTGTGGTGACTAGGGGGCAAAGGGGACAGACATCATTGAATTCCTCGGTGCATTCCATCCCGAGGTTAGCTTTTTGTTACCACTTTACTTAGCGTATTGCGGCATTATCGCATAGTGAATTTCTCGTCGCCGCGCCACCACCCAGCAGGATCGTGTCGTGTGAGCCTGCTCCGTCTAGTCCAGAGTATGGTTCCTGGTCTCGGGCAGCGCGTCTCTCGTGGGTCCTCTCTCCTCGTCGCCACTATCGTCGCTTTCGTCACCATCTCTTTCCATGCGACACTATCGCTGGTATCTACTCGCCATACTCGCACCCACTCTGATTCTCTCGGCTCCGCGCGCCCACGCCTTTATGCGGCTTCCGTCTCCGGTCCGTCATCGTCAACGTCAGCGGTTGCCGATCCGTAAAAAATCGGCTACTGGTCAAGGTCGGAAGATGTGACGGAGGGCGTGGATTTGAGCAGTAAAGTGGCAATCATAACGAGTACGATGGTCGAATATTTGTTGTCGCCGTATGCTGGTCTAGAGGTTTCAAATTTGCCATAGTCGCGCACCAACCAAAAAGGAGTACTGTTTGAGTCGTCCGTTCATAAACCGGACGACGAATGAACTGCAGTTTCGACCTGACAAAAGCGAGAAAAGTTCCCCACCGTTCCCCACCGTCGCATGCATGCTCGAGGAAACCCCTTTTAGAATGTAGACCGCAGCGTCGCATAACGAGTAGAATGTAGACCGCAGCTATCCCTCGCACAGCTATCGTCTAGGATTGATGTAGTGTCGCCAATGTTACCAACAAATTGCGATCCCTCGCACAACTATCGTCTTCGCCAGTGCAGTAATTTCGAGAAACTAAGCTACCAGGATAGTCTGTGAAGTGGTTAGTGATGAACTTGGTGACACCCAAGCAAAGTTAGGAAAGTGAGGTGTTTTGGGGGGATTCGAGACTCCGGTTTAGGGTTCAGGCAAGATAGGAATGGAAAAGAATGGGGAACAGCAAGGCGGGAACATAATCTGTGTTTGGTATGAGTAGGAAAATGGGGGATGAGAGGAGGGGGAAGAGGGGAGGACGAAGGGGGGTGACGGTGGATATAGCATGGACGTGAGACCGCAGATGTGAGGCATGGCAGGAGCACGCGCAGCGGCGGCGTGCGACATTCTCTCCCATTCCCCTTCCGCACGTTCTTTCCTACCTTTTACCACCCGAGGCGCCTTTACCACGCGCATTTCTTCCACGTCTTCGTTGTGTCGCCGTTAACTGTTCCTGCTCGTCCGCTCATCCGCTCGTCGTCGCCCAGATTTCGCTCTCCTCTCCTCTTTTCCACCCTAGGCTGAGACTCTTCCCATGTCATTCGTGGAAACCGTGTGGGACACCCCAAGAGTTCTTCGTGCCATGTGTGAATAACGATTCCCCTTCCTTTCCTCCCTTCCTCCTCCGCGCGCGCCCAAATCTGCTCCGCGTGTGAACCACTTTCTTGCTAATAACGTATATTCCCCCTGCATGCCTCCTTCCCCGAGCGCAATCCCTCCCCCCCCTCCTTTCCCCCCTCTCTCCCCCCACCCCCCTTTCCTCCCCGCTTTCCTGGCCCCGCGAATCTCCTCCTCCCCGGCGAATCCCCTTTTCCCCCCCGCGCGAATCTCCCCACCAAGGCGGCAGCAGCGGCATCGGCACGAAGACGGTGCGGGTGCTGGCACTGCGAGGCGCGTCGGTGGTGCTGACGGTGCGCAGCACGGAGGCGGGGGAGGTTGCCAAAGCCTCCATCATCAAAGACATCGAGGCGCGAAGCTCAGCGGCGGCGGAAGTTTCGGCGGAGGTGCGCGAGCGCGTGAGCGTGATGCCTCTGGATCTGGCGTCGCTCAAGTCGGTGCGCGCCGCGGACTATCTGCGCCTCAACCGCCCTCTTCACCTGCTCATGTGCGCGCGGAGGGGGAGGGGGAGGGGGAGTCTGGGATGTGGAAGGGGGAGGGATGGGGGGGAGAAGGGAAGGGGCACGGGGTGATACAGGGGGGAGGGGCAGGGGGAGGGGCAGGGGGGAGGGGGAGGTGAAGGGGGGGATCAAGGGAAGGGGAAAGGGTGGGGGCCTTGTGGCGGGGGAGAGCTGAAGTTGAGTCTGAAATGACCTGCTGTTGGTGTGCCCCATCAACACACCTGCCTTCTTCCTTCCTCCCTCTTTCCTCCCTTCCCTCGCTCCCTCATTCCCTCTTCCTCGTTCCCTCCCTCCCTGCCTCCCTGCCTATCCACCTACAATGCCAGTCATTCTACCTTTCCTCTTTACTTCATCCGCTCGTCCAGACCCTTTCCCCCCTCGACGCACCCACCCCACTGTCCCCTTTCCCTCCTCGCTTCCCATCCCACAACCCCCCCTCACCCTCCCCACCAATCCCCCATCCCACAACCCCCCCTCACCCTCCCCACCAATCCCACCACGGCCCATCCAACCTCACCCAACCCCTCCCCACCCCACTCCACTGGGCAGCAACAACGCGGGCGTGATGATATGCCCGTTCATGCTCACAGCGGACGGGTATGAGAACCAGTTCGGCACCAACCACGTGGGTGAGTGCAGGGAGGCAACCACGTGGGTGAGTGTTGGGGAGCAGCAACCACGTGGGTGAGGCAAGCAAGCAGGTCCCAGCGGCGCACAGCAGGGGTGGCAGTGCGGTGTGTGAGTGGAGGGAGGGAGTGGTGCGAGCGAGTCTTAGCAGCTGGTTGTTCTCTTCGTAGGCTTGAGTGCATTTGTTTCCCTCCCAGGCTCATGGGTCTCTCAGGCTGATCACACCACATCTCCACCGCCTTTTTCTCCCTCTTTTTTCCGTCCCCCTGCACCCCCTTCCCCCCTCTTCCCTTCCATCCCCTTCCCCCCTTCCCCTGCACACATCCCCCACCCAATTGCATCGCACGTCGTACCCCCTTTAGGCCACTTCCTGCTGACCAACCTGCTGCTGCCGAAGCTCAAGGAAACCGCCAAGCAGGAGGGCGCAGAGGCGCGCATCGTGATCGTCTCCTCCGCCGCGCACCAGTTCCCGTACCCGGGCGGCATCCGCTTTGACGCCATTAATGCCAAGGAGGGGTACGACTCGGTGAAGGCGTACGGGCAGTCCAAGCTCGCTAATATCCTGCACGCTTGGGAGCTCGCGAGGAGGCTCAAGGTGCGTTGCTGTTTGAGTGTTTACTCTTGAGTGGGTTGGAGAGCCACGCATGACTGGGTCACAATGTGGTGAAGGCGTACGGCAGTCCAAGCTCGCCAATATCCTGCACGCCCGGGAGCTCGCGAGGAGGCTCAAGGTGCGTTGCTGTTTGAGTGTTTACTCTTGAGTGGGTTGGAGAGCCACGCATGACTGGGTCACAATGTGGTGAAGGCGTACGGCAGTCCAAGCTCGCCAATATCCTGCACGCCCGGGAGCTCGCATGGCGGCTCAAGGTGCGTGGCTGTGGGAGAGGTGGGTGTGCTTGAAGGAGTGGGTGCGTGGGTGTTGTGTGAGTGAGTGGGTGTGTGTGAGTGTCAGTGTGTGTGTAGGTGAGGGGATATGTGTGCGGTGCATGTGAGTGCATGAGTGTTTGTATGAGTGGGAGGTGAAGGGAAGAAGTATGGCTGGTGATGAAACATGCTAGAAAGCGCTTTTTCATGCCAGTCTCTTCCTCCTCGTCCCCTTGTGAAACCCCCTGTGCTGGTATGAATGACTGTGATATGACTGTGAAAGCTCTGTACCCAGGGGTAATCAACCCTCAACAGAGGCAACCCTGGTTTTACTCACCAGCACCCTCCCTCACCCTCCCCCTCCCCCTTCCCCGCTCTCCCCTTCCTGTCTCTCCCTTTATCCATGCGAGCAGGAGGAGGGTGCAGAAGTGACAGTGAACGCACTGCACCCGGGGGTGATTGACACCAACCTCTCGCGCCACATAGTGCCGCCAGGGACCATCTGGCACACCCTCGGACGTATGTCAGGGGTGGGCGGGTGCGTGGGTGGGTGGGCGGGTTGGCGGGTGGGAAGGGCATAGTGCGTTTGGGCATGCCACATTGGGTCCGCGGAACCCCTGGTTTGCTGCGGACCAAGCAGTCCAGTCTGTGGACCAGCTGTGAGCCAGCTCATGGGCCAGGCAAGTGCAGGCATAGTTACCATGCATCACAACTGGTTCCAGGGCCTTATTCGTTCGGGTCTGAGCCTTTTCTGCAGGTCCGCCACGAAAAGTGGCTGGGGCTGATGCTGGTCCGTCAGACCAGCCACGAAAGCAAGTGAGACGTGGTTCGGATCTGGTCCGTCGGTCTGACCATCCCTTCGTCGGCGGATTACGGGTTTCATGGACAGAATGTCTCCTGTGGTATAAGGCAAAGCCTTTTGCGCCACAGAGTGCTATTGGGGACTATCGGGCACACCCTGGGACATAGTTGATGGGATGGGCGGGTGGGTGGGTGGGTGGGTGGGTGGGCGGGTGGGCGGGTGGGGTAGAAAGAGGGGGAGGAGGGGCATCTGATGGGCTGATGGGTTGATGGAGGCTGTTTGGCCCTGTCTTGGACGTACCAGCATGATTGAGTGCATGTAATCCCTGCTCACTGCTTGCAGCCTGCTTCTGCGTGACCTTGGCTGAGCACCCATTGCTGTCTGTACATTTGTTATGTGCCCTTGTGCCTTTCCACTGCCGCCCTGCCATGCTGTGCAACCAACCACCAGGGGGAGCGTACAGCCTGGTGTTCCAGTGGTTCATGAAGACCATTCCTCAGGTATGCGTCCAACTCTGCTGCAAGAATGATCATGAGTGTGATCGAAGCCGAGCCGCCTCTACTTTACCAACCCCTCACCCCTCCTCACCTCACCTCACCTCACCTCACCTCACCTCACCTCACCTCACCTCACCTCACCTCGCCTCACCGCTGCCACCTTTCACTGCTGCATGGTTGGGTGCCAGCACATCCCCATGCTCATGTGGACACTGCTTGCAACAAACCCAATGGGGCTACTTCTCATGCTCCACTACCTTCCAACCTTCCCCCTCCTCCCCCCTCCCCCCAATCAAGCCACGCCATCCTGCTGCCTCGCGGAACACACTCTTTGCTGGTGCGAGCGTCTTCCACCCTTCCCCCTCTTTCCTCTCACACACTCCTTCCACCTCCACCTAACCACCTCTTATCCTCAACCACTCCCCTGTCTTTCCCTCCCTCAGGGTGCAGCCACCTCATGCTTCCTTGCAGCGCACCCCTCAGTGGCGGGTGCAAGTGGGGGCTACTACGCAGACTCGCGGGCAGCAGAGGCAAGGCAACAGCGCTGAGCAAGGACATGGAGCTGGCTGGGAAGCTGTGGGAGCTGAGTGAGCAGATGGCCAGCAAGGAGTGAAGCTGGATGGTGTGGTGTGAGGGAGGGAATGGAAGAGTGTGGGACAGGGGTGGGAGTGGACAAGAGTGGGAGTGTAGGTGTGAATGAATGACCTTGGGGTTAGGCTTGATGCTTGCACAGACGCGTGTCCCATCCCAAGCACAGCAAGTACCGTATGTGTAGCTAGTAAGTGAGGAGCTGTGGGAGGGAGAAGTCCTGGACTTAACTTAGATGACTGGGAGAGGATATATGTGGCAGGCAAGGTCACTTGCTACCTGATGGTTGTTACGGTACTTACCGTCATACCCCGGATATAAGCGCCACCCTCGGATAACCGCCTGGCGCTTTTAATTGGCGTGTGGCGCTTAAATCCCCTGCTCGATTATAATCGCACCCCCTGAAAAAACGTGTGTTATTATAAGTGCACGTAAACTTTAAAATTTGAAATGTGTTCAAAACACTGTAACGATTCTTACTTTAGCAGGCGGATGTGTTGCAGATTTGGTTCCCTTCACATTCGGACCCTGCACTGGATGCGGGTCCAGTAAGCAAGAGCTGTCAGGAGCTGGATGTGAGTCAGGTTGTGTGTATCTCCCTGCGCGCGTGAGAATTTCACAGACGACCCCATGTAACTTCGACTCGATTGAAAAAGCAAGCACGAGATCTACAGTTTGGTGTTAAAGCCAGGGTCTCAAGTAGTACGAGTGCTTTGCAGTTGGTGGTAGGAGGTCGACTGGGATTGGTTGGCGAGGTCCCAAGTTTAGGGGAGGGGTGAAGCGAGGGTTGCGAAGGGGACATAAATCGTTGAGTTGTTTCCGAACCATCTAGCCACGGAAGTTGGTGTAGGCCGAAGCTGAAATGCCAGCAACTTCCCGAAAGCCCCAAAAGTCTCGAGTAAAAAAGTCGAATGTTTTGCAATTCTTGTGGGGGCAAAAACAGTGGTGTGTCGCACACTACTTCCCAGGCCAACCAGTCAGCTCGCCTGCTACAAACAGAGTAACGGAGCTTCAACTGCTTTGCAGTTGACGCCAGGATCTCTTACTTGAGACCCTGGCTTTAAAAAATATTAAAAGACATATATGTCATTTTATAAACACCGGCGCTTATAAATTTACTCAATTATAAGCCCAACCCCCTAAAAAAACCAGTTTTATTATTGCCCCATGGGGGTATATCCAGGGTATGACGGTAGTTATTGTGAGCAGAGGAGCTAGTGTCAGTAGATCTGCACTGTGGATGCCCGATCGATCCTGGAGAGGGTTACAGGCGCGTTCGCCTGGGGGGTTATGGGCGCACTGACCCGCTACGGAAACAAGCCCTTTTATCCCAATGGTCTAGTGGCTGGGATTCTGACATGGTATCAGAGCGGTCTCGGGTTCGAATCCTGGTGTATGCACATGTAGGCCGGTGCCGCTGTGCTTAGTCCTGGGCCTCCCAGTGTAGGGGGGTGTCAGTAGATCTGCACTGTGGATGCCCGATCGATCCTGGAGAGGGTTACAGGCGCGTTCGCCTGGGGGGTTATGGGCGCACTGACCCGCTACGGAAACAAGCCCTTTTATCCCAATGGTCTAGTGGTTGGGATTCTTCACAGCTAGCACCCTGTACCATAATCTTTGTTTTCAATGTGCTAGCTGACGAGAGTCCCCAGGGCTAAAACGGGAATTTGAGTAACCTTGGGCTGGCCCTCTTTTGCAGGGTACTGCTAGGTATTACTGTATACTCTCAAATTGTGCTGTTGCTGCCACACATGGTAGGGTTAGCCATTAAACCCGTGCTTGCCAATCAGTCCATCAATTAGGTGTCGCGCTTCCACTCACCCTCTCCTAGCTAAGCCCGCCATCTACCACACTCCTAGCCCGCTCCCTCGCGTTCCAGCCAGCCAGATCATCTGCCCGCCTGCCCAAGCACCGAATGCCAGCCGTAGTGCCGCCCGCCAGCCAGCACGCACCTTGCAGCCTTGCATGCAGCATGCAGCATAGGAATTCAAGCTTTTGCTTTGAGGCCTATGCAGCATACCGTAAGCATTTTCTCTGCCCACCACCTATTGCACACCATTCTCTTTTCGAAAACAAATTTGTTACACAAGAAAGACAAAGATTGAGAGTTAAGAGCATTTGCTTTTTATCCTGCTTTTTCTTCATAGGCAGGTTAAGAGAATTGATTACAAGCACCTTAGCAAAGGAAAAGCCAAAAAACTATAAGCCTCAAGGAGCGTGTATCCAGGATACTACGGCACTAGTCATTGGCTTTACGGGAAAGGACAAAAATCCTATCCAGAGGGCTGATCCCCAATCATTCTAAGCTGGGTCTCCAGACTTTCCACACCCGCAACAGCGTCCTTCATCTCCTGGATCTGCGCATCCACCTTGATAGCGGCGCAGAACTCCTTTTTCCCCGCCACCTCCTCCATGACAGCCTGCAGCTGGGTGGCAATGTGTGCCATGCTTGGGCGGCTTGCAGTGCGCTCCACGGTGCAGCTCACAGCCAGCTCAGCCACATGCAGCACCGCATCCCCGGGCGGGGCGTCCATGCGCGCATCCTTGAGGCTCTCTGTGTCATTTGATGACAAGCAGCTGGACGCCTGATGGAGTGGAAATAGCAGAAAGTGTGAGAAAAACTCGAGCGCAAATCAGTCAGCTCTCAACGCAGCTACCTGTACTTTGATTGAGAGAAAACAATCGGCAACATTCAACAATCTGTTTGCAGGGAACTTACCCATGGCACAATCTGCTTGGACTCCCCATCATCCTCAGAGAGTGGAGGGCGTCCAGTGAGCACCACAAGCATGAGCACACCAAAGCTGCACCGAACGAGAGACGATGAGAGCAACACGATGGTGAGATGCGTATGAGATATTATCATGGCCAGTCCTTGCTTGTGAATGAAACAATCTATACACGAGACCAATGGTGAGCAACCGAACGAGGCTCAAGAGATCAGACATACAAGAGAAGGATGATGGGTATCCAACTATCTAGGTTGAAGCGGTTGATCCATGCAGCCATGCGGTATCCAAGCTCAAATGCTAACTGCACAAACCCATGCAGACTTGGCTTCATAAGCGAGCATACAACTTTTGCAGGGTTTACGGAATTCCAAGGTCTGGCAAAAGTAGCGGGCAGAACGGTGAGACGAGGGTTGACGAAACCTGGAACCTGTAACCAGTATCCTAGTTTCTAGAGCTTTTGCCATAGCAAATGTATACGCTCGCCCTTAGATATTTCTCGCTGACATGGCACGGACGTGATACGACTTTTGGCTCACCTGTAGACATCGCTGGCTGCAGTGGCCTTGGACGTCCGGGAGTAAACCGGATCCACATAGCCCGGTGTTCCCATGATTCGAGTCGTGCCCGCTGTCGTGCCCTCCCCCGCCCTCACCAGCCCGAAGTCTGCAATCTTGGGCTGGTGGGTGGTTGGATAATATGAACGTATGAATTAGCACCAACAAGAGAAGAGGTAATGGAGGAAGAAAGGTGGGAGATTTTTTGGTGTCAAATCAGCATTGCATTGCCACATATTCAGAGATAGCGTGGGATTCCAGACAGTGGTTAAGATAAGCTCGAACAAACAATCTCTACCTGTTTGGCCCTTGAGGGATATTTGAATCTGTAAAACTCATAGTTCTCATACTGATTGCTTCCTGACAGCATCATGCTGCCGTGCAATCTTCTGCAACCGTGCTTACCTGCATATCATTGGTGATGAGGATGTTGGCGGGTTTGATGTCGCGATGCACAATGTCAAAGCTGTGGGGATACTCAAAGCCATGTGCAATGCCGATGAGAATGTCCAGCCGCTGCTTCAGACTCAGAGGAGATGGTGCGTCTGCAACAATGTCAAAGCCAAGGGATGAGCTTCACAGCAAGCATGAGGCGGACAGCATGAGTGGCCTGGCCTACCATGAGCGGCACTGCTCAAGTGAATGCTTCACAATAATTTGCTCACACTCACTTGGTCCGATCCACTTGTCAAGGTCACCGTTGGGCACAAACTCGTAAATTAAGATCTGCTCGATCTTCGACCTCACGTCCCCTCCCACTGCAAACCCCAACAGTCGCACAATGTTGGGATGGTTCTTGTCAGCCATTTGCAGAATCTGAAGGGACAGAAAACAAACACGCAGGAACAGAAAAGGTTTAAAAGAAGAAGAATAAGGAGCAGAGTGAGAGCAAGACCGAGGATCGAGGAGAGAAAGAAAGAGAAGGAATTACAGACTTTCACTGTGATGTAAGCAGTTGTGATCTAATTTATATAACGCAAATGTCAATGCCTTCTGCTGTCCAGCCATTTCTCCATACGCGGCTCGCTCACCTCCCTCTGGAAGTCCATGTCTATGAGCTTGGCGCGCTTGACAGCCCACTGTGTGGTGCCATCGCGGGGAGAGACCCCCTTGTAGACATCACCAAAGGCACCCGAGCCAAGCAGGTTGTGGTCGGACCAGTCGTTGGTGGCCTGCAGCACCTCGTCCAGGGCGAACTCCGTGCAGTGCGCCGCTGCCAGGCTGGTGCCCAGGGCTGCTCGTGGGGTGGTGGGTGAAGGGCGAGGAGGCAAATAGAGAGCCCTCTCGTTGTCCTGCATTGTGCGTATCGCTCAGAAAAGGAAGAGAAACGCAGAGCATTGAGGAGGTGTGGAGGTGGGCAGCAGATTATCTGAGCACATGCAGCACATCTCAGCCCTGCAATCCTGCTGCTCGACTCGTACTTCTTGAGCTTCTTTGCTTCTGATGCCTGAAGCAGAGCAGCATGGCAGCCAGAAGCAGGAGGAGAACGACCACAGCAGCAACGGCAATGCCGATGATGGCTCCCACTGATACACCCCCTCCACCTCCCCCTCCCCCTCCAGATGCTGCTGCTGCACGAGCACAACATAGCACAAGCATGTCGTGTGAGCAGAGAGAGCGTGCTCGCCATCACAACAGCACAAAGCACGTCTAAGTGGTGGCTGTTACAGCCAACTAGGCACAGCTTTATGGTCCCCATTGACCTGCTTGTTCTTGGCATGTCGAACAGGTGGTGGAACATTTCCGGCAGAAAGCAGCGAATGACGATAGGGTTTGGCCGCAGGTGGTGCTGTCAGCAGCAGGACAAGTGAGGCTGTTGTTATCGGTGTTGCTGCAGTGCAGTGGGAAGTGGGCAGATTGACAAAGGAGAGATTATGCCTGTGACATTGTCATGTGGCGTGGCACTGCCATGCAACTCTGCATTTATGTTAAGACGGTTGCACGCACCAGCCAGGAGACAGAATCACACTCACACAATTGTCAAAAAGGCATGAGCGAAACGAAACATAGTTCGGTTCAGGTCAAACCGATTTACTTGAAACTGGACTAGAGTTATTAAAATAACAGTTTGGTCTGAGGCAAACCTGTTTGGCGGGTTCGATCTCTGTTTGGAACAGCAACCCGAGCTCCTCGAGCTGTGCGTATTTATACTGCCCGCTGAGTCATAGGTTGGTTGGAGATTGATTTTAAGCTCCCGCAACTTGTAAGCTAATTCATATGGCCACGCTGCCCGCTTCCCAAGCCCGTGCCCGCCCCACCACTAGATTTTTAGGGTAAGTCCTAATCTCTGTCTGAGTGTGGAGTTTGGAAACGGTAGTATTCTGGTTGTAGATTGGGAATAAAATCGTGCTGTGCGTCGGTGAGTTTGGCCGGTGATGGAATCTCTAGATAGAAGAGGGGGTGAAGTGAGGTGGGTTGGTAAATATTGGCTGGTGGTTGGATTTTCTAAATAGTAAGCGCTGAAGAAAGGTAGGATGTTGGCTGGTGGTTGGGTTTGGTTATTTAGATAGCATAAAGGTAAACATGGTGGGTTGGGTTCCCCAAGACATCGCTTAACATCCTGAACCAACGCACCCCACTTCACCCCATAGGGCGTGGTATGGGGCAAGAACCATATTTCCCTCAACAATTTGGACGATGAGCTCCTCTTAAAGCCTGCAGCCCAAGTAGAACAACATTAGTAAAATTGATGTAGAGATTGGTTAGGTTGGGTTGCCACGCCCCTCGCAAACTGGGCCGTGGCTTTAACTCGTAGCTCTTGAGGGTTTGGTCAATGGGGATGATTGAAATTGAACTGCGTGTGCTGATTGGTGCCTCGAGTCACACATGGCGTTTTAGAAGCCATCGTCAGCAAACTATATGAGCCAACATGGTGTAGGCATTTCCGTGACATTCGAACATCCTCATCGGAAATATCACCTCCGGTCCAAACAACGGCGATGCCGCCGACGTCCTCCTTCTGAAAGGTCTGGACGACTCAGCCTTACGCACTACACTAGTTCCAAATGTACCGTCCTTAGTACCTAGAGGGATGAGCAAAACCCGAACGCAAACATGTTTGGGTCGAACGTGTATCGATTACGTTCAGTGGGCAAATCAAACATGTTCGGTTTGACCCAAACACTTGGTGATTTGCAAAGGTGAAATGCAGGCACATGTGCAATGGTGGCAGCCAGAAGTGACTTGCACATGACATACACCAATGCTGCTCAGCTTACAGGTAGTCCAATAGGGAAAGCCTCCCAAGTGTGGTTGGAGTTAGCCCGTTAAGTTGGTTCGTTTCCAAACTCCTGTCCACAAGGGCATGATCAGTCCGGAACATCTAAAGCAAGGCGAATGGGGAAGAGTGAGTGAGACTACAGGAAAGCAACAACTGCATGTCACCCAGAAGGTTGGGGCAGCGCAGCAGAGAGTGACGAAGGAGTGGCAAAACGATGTGGTGGGCGAAGCGATGGGGAAAGGAGTGGGCATGCAGAGTGCAGTGGAGGAGTGCCAGCAGTGATGCGCACATGGCATGCAGCACCCAGTGGACAGAGCAGCACGCAGGTGGAGCAAACCCAGTGTGCCTCTTACAGCCATGTGAGAGCTGTGAGCGCGGAGATGCTGTCGGGTATAGAGCCCGTGAGAGAGTTATAGCCAAGATTCCTGTGGTCGGTGAGTGGGTTGGGCCACATGAATGAGACAAGAGACACAAATCCCTTCCCATTGACAGTGGCTGGAACTTGGAATGATTAACAGTCAAGAAGGGTAGAGTAAGACAAGCAGATGCAGAGGAGTGGCTGAGATGAGATTGTAAATGCTGAAATTATGTATTGGCGTTTGCAGGTTCTCTCATAAAAGACAAAGCATGAATGACCAGCATGGAGGAACACAGAGTGGAAATGGGATGCAGACAGCAGGAGGGGTGGAGGAGTGGGCATGCAATGCATGGACAGTGGAGGAGTGCCAGCAGTGATGCGCACACCTTACAACACACAATATTACAACAGTTACATCTAATTCCTACTGCTGATGGTTCTAGTCCCTCTGAAACAAAACTTTTCGGGGTCACCTTCTCCAAGGATTCTTGGGTGCCTGACCAAAGTCAGCCCCTATCAAAGGGTCAGAGTGTGTAGAAAGAGAAGTTTCAGCGAAGTAGAGTTGCAGTGGAGATCCTTGTCACGGCGTAGGCTGAGGTTCTTTCAGTATTAAAAGTTAATCTCGCAGCAGTGTGAGAGGAGAATCTGATACGCAGATAGTGTTGAATTCATAATCCAGGGTATTCAACTATATATCCTCTAAGCTGTTCCTAGTGCTAACTATCTATAATCACTAACTGTTCTTATTGTTTAACGCAACGCAAACAATTTTGCGTTTCACATTCAGAGAATGCTTGCTCCAAGAACCTTCTTGACGGTCAAGACTCGAGACGAAAAACTTCGCGCTGTTTTGCAACGGCTCCGATTGCCCGTTTGAAAAGGGTGCGAGAGTCAAACTCGAAACTCGACTGGCGAGCTGAGTTGACAAGTTATCTCTCAGCACGTGTACCCCTTGCTCGAGGTGTGAACATCACCCTTGAGCAAGCTGAGGTGATTCAACTGCTCGAGTGCATGATCAGCTTAGCTCTCGCTCGATGCGCGATCGCGTGAGCAGTTGTGCTCAGCTCACGCCTCGTGTTCAGGGTAACAGCTGCGTTGGCGTCTCAGAGTGCACGAGCGAGACACAACGAGTTCGGCGATGAACTCGTTGCGCGAGCAACACCCAATCGGCGTCTTCGAAATGTGATAACTCGAGCGGTTGTGTACTTGCCGCGCGAACAGAAATCGCCGCTGTGATTGGAAGAGATGAAATAGCTGATCGAACTGTCTTTGTGAGTAGATTCGACTGCTCTCATCGGTCGAAGCAGAACTGTACCCCTTTCAGCTCCTAATTGAATTATTTTAGTACCCCCCCCCCCCCCCCCTCCCCCGCCAAAAAAAAAAATGACAGATTGATATATATTCTAATTTATTATGTAAACCCAGTGTGCCTCTTACAGCAATGTGAGAACCGTGAGCGCAGAGATGCTGTCGGGTATAGAGCCCGTGAGAGAGTTATAGCCAAGATTCCTGTGGTCGGTGAGTGGGTTGGGCCACATGAATGAGACAAGAGCCACAAATCCCTTCCCACTAACAGTGGCTGGAACTTGGAATGATTAACAGTCAGGAAGGGTAGAGTAAGACAAGCAGATGCAGAGGAGTGGCTGAGATAAGATTGTAAATACTGAAAGTGTGTATTGGCGTTTGCAGGTTCTCTCATAGCAGCCGAAGCATGAGTTTGAAGTACATCAGCATGGAGGAACACAGAGTGGAAATGAGATGCAGACAGCAGGAGGGTTGGAGGAGGAGTGGGCATGCAGAGTGCATGGGCAGTAGATGAGTGCCAGCAGTGATGCGCACGCAACACTCAGTTGACAGAGCAACACGCAGGTGGAGCAAACCCAGTGTGCCTCTTACAGATATTGGAGTGCTATGAGTGCGGAGATGCCGTGGGGAATGGGGCCACCGAGGGAGTTAAAGTTGAGATTACTGTGTGGGGTTGAATGGTAAGTAGAAAAACATTATCACTTGGCTCAATAAATCAGTAGGAAACGAAGTTTGGGCGAAGATACAAGAGCCTCAAATCCCTGTCCAAAGGGTGGCTGGAACCTGGAAGAATCGATAATAGATCAGTTATGGGCAGAGCAACGCAGTTGAGATTGTTTAGAAACAGAATTCTGCCGAAGCAATGAATATGTGGTTCCAAAAAAGTACAGCAGGTAAGTTGGTGTAGCAGGGAGGAGCAAGAAGCTGCGAAGGGATGCAGACAGCAAAGTGCGGGAGTGGGCGTGCAGAGTGCATGGGCAGAGGAGGAGTGCCAGCAGTGATGCGCACATGGTATGCAGCACCCAGTGGACAGAGCAGCACGCAGGTGGAGCAAACCCAGTGTGCCTCTTACAGATATGTGAGTGCCGTGAGCGCGGAGATGCTGTCGGGAACGGAGCTGTCGAAAGAGTTAGAGCTGAGATCCCTGTGTGGGGTTGAGTGCGTTGAGCGTGATGAGACAAAAGGCAAAGTCCCTGTCTGCAGCAGCTAAGTTGGATTGAAAGCTCACACGTAGATGATGGACGCCAGAAGCAGCATCAGTCTCAGATGCTGAATGCTTGGCAATACTGCGTTTTTATTTTGTTTCTTTCCAGTCAGGCTGGGAAAACAAATGCCACGTTGACCGCGATTTGCAACTTTCACGTAAATGTTAACTCTTTAGAATCAAAATGCCTATTCGGCATCCCAACGATCCAACCGATCTTTTCCTTCCCGATCGAACTTCACCACATTAAATCTAGAGTTTTCAACCAGCGCACAAACCATCCTAGATGAGAAGATTTAAACAAAAGGTGACATACTGGCTTCAAAATCTAGTCAACCTCCTAGGTTATTAGCGTTAGAGTAGCCCCTACACCCCCAACCTATTGCTGGAGTTTTAGTACATGCCCAAATTTGTTTTGCCTGCGTGGACTAACGTCCAACAGGGGCTAGGCAAGCGCCCAGCATCTTGTCACTAACCTCCCTCCAAGACACTGGACTGGTTAAGCCAACACA